AAAGGACTGCAAATCCATCTGAAGCACTCGCCACAATTCTGGTCATGCCATCACCTGCGCCAAATTCTCTCTGAGGTTTGGTGGAAAACAACGGCGTCACCCGAAGAAGTTTCGATCTGATGAAACTAACCGGCCCAAACGTAGTTACTACCTACTAAAGCACATTTTTTTATTACACATCTTCGTGTGGTGAACAGCAGACGGGGAGAGCCCCATAGTCACGAGGACCTGCTGTTCAGTGATGGAGACCGGTATCCTAAGCCCTAGGACTTGGATTGGCGAACCACATAGGTTAGGCGTGCTATTGAACCGGACGATAGCACAGCTGCCTACATTGGCTGCTGATATAGACGGTCCGTCATCCTCGAACGTTGATAACCGATTGGTTCAGATCCATAAAGCCATGCATAAGTCTGCCGCCACTGCATGTGGCCTCACCATGCGCACCGTCAACCACTGGTTTTCCACACGTTTTCCCGAACTGGTTGATATCTCTCGAGGAATCCCTCTGGTTAATAAATGCAACAGTTCGTAAAACTTCCAATGTTAAATTGAAACAGTTCCTCATGTAGAGGATCGAGATCTAGTGGGCACAACTCGCTTCCGAGCTGTAACCAGTAATACACACAAGCCTTTTCGACTAATCCGAGCCACCGGTAACAAAATAGTGAGTGAGCCCCTCGTCTGGTTGTGGACGTAAGGCCGTCACTCTCATCATCACAAGTTCGGGGCTTAGGTTGCCGTTTTTCACCAGTAAACAGCAAGTTATCGTGACTAAGGAGTCTGACCCTTAGTTGAGTCCTTTTCACTGGGACAATCAATTTTCAGAGACAGTGTTCAGGGGAGGGGAGATGGTGGTGCAGCAACTTTCATTTCCAACTTCCGAGTCGATTTACTGATGACCTTAAACGCTTGATCACCATCGCACATTCAGAATCAATACATTCTCCCCCATTTTTTATAGTGCAATATTTTATTGCCATCTACATATAAAAACAACAACAAGCAAACTGGTTTCAATTTTCACTTTATACAACCATTAATCATGCACTTTTGTGCATCGGTTCTAGTTGCTTTCTTTGGGCTGCCCATCTGGATGAAGCAGTAGGAGAAAGACAGGAAAGGGGAGAGTAGAATCGAAGAGAAAATGGGGAATTCCAATGGACTAAGGTTGCTAAGAAATTGAGAAAATGCACAAACACTACTGTTCACGACACTTAATCACATCACTGGGTGTCTCTAACCATCGGTTACAGTCATCCCGAGGTCCCCGTACTGCGTGCCTAACGCGGCCTATAGGACCTAGTCTCCTGGTTACAGTTTTCTTACTCATACCAGGTCTTATTTTGAACACCCTTGGCTTTTTTTCTAACCACTACCTGCCTCGCGCGTTTCCCAAGAAAATCCCACTACGTTTCGGTGCCTTGCGAGTCAGAGTTTTGAGTCAAACGCTCCGGTTAGGGTTACCAATGGAAACCCCCTTCGTCGGTGTGAGCTGCCGCGAAATATATCGTGCCCTATTAGGAAAAGCAAACAGGTAACTATGTGTCAAGTAAAAATGTGTAGCCCCATTTTCATACAGTTTGTATTGTCGGTTTGTTTGATCGGGCACATTTGTCTGTCGAGAACGAACCGTACTTTTGCATTGTTCAAAGATGCAACCTTTACGTATGAAATTAAAATCAAATATATCGGCGTTAAACCAGTTTAGTTTCCGCTTAGTTGCTTTATTTTTAGCAGGCACTTGCAGTTGTGCTTGACCTTCATCGATTGTGGAGCGTCGGGTTTCTCGTCTCACTGGATGCCCCCCCCCCCGCAAAGAAGAAGAGACCCAGCACCAATACTTAGAAGCAAATAAATAACTTTTTTTTACATATTTTTCGATAATGCAATTCTACAATCAATTTCCAGCATATAATTCAAGGCGGCCAGGAGTTAATGTGGAATAGGAGGAGGATGGATGGTGATGATAGGATTCAAATACACAACCTCTGGGGCGAAGACTTTCCGAATGAGAAATACGAAATGATATAGTCTAATGCATATCAAGTCGAACACTGGTGTTATAATGATCTTAATTACTAAACCGCCGCCGAACTTGAGAGGGCAATCAGAGTTGTAAAGAGCACAGAAATAATTATTTGTTTCAAAAGACGACGAGGTCCGGAGGACAATAATTTTATTTTATCTTTTCAAGTCTGTTTTAGTGTTTTTAAAATTTTCGGAAACTACGTGAGGAAAGAGGTAAGCGGATTCAAAAAGTCGAGCATATAAATGCAGAAAAGTAGATGCACGGGCTTAAACTTTTCTCCAAATGGAAGAGTCCAACACATCTCCGCTCTTACGTAAGCGACGTTTTCTACCGGTTATAGCGTTTAAGTGTTTCGTTAATCATTATGACATCACTGCTCTCCACATCCGATCATTGTATGTTCATTTTCCCTCTCATAATCGTGTTCCCGGTACAGTTGTCTCCGAAAAATTGGCTGGTATGTGCGCGAATATCAATTTGTAGAAAGTGAGGATATCTTTCTACTCAATCGAACCCTCAGTCTGGTTGCGAAATTTCTCGAGGCCAATCCGATCAAACCACCGTCCACCGAGACTCCTCCTCCGGAACGTCGCTATTCGACAGTGCTAAGAGGTAGTCTGGAAGACGAACCACCCCGATCTCCCGAATCCACGGATTCGGATGACCCGATCTACACGGAATCGTCAAACCAAGGCCAGAATCTTGTAGATATTGTGGAAGATGATGATGATGACGGAGATGTGCAAGATGCACCGGATGCGGAAGAACAACGTATGTCTTCCTATCTGGGTATTGTATCCGGGGACCCGGATGCCGAGGCCACTTTGAAGCTGATACTCAAACTGCAGGAGCGTGAGATGTACGGAATCAGTTCAGATTCCAGCACGGATGAGGTAAGCCCCGGGGGTTGGATCGTTCTCATGTGATACCGAATTCCGGTAAATCCAGGCACACACACACACACACACGTACCTCGTTGCATGTGGATTCGCATGGACGGAAACAGAATTCCTTCAGTTGGAGCCTGTTTTTTTGCTGATTGGCTCATCACTCGACGCTACACTGGA